CCCCAAAACCCCAAAACCCCAAAACCCCAAAACCCCGTTATTATTGCTAGGATTGAGGGGTCACATTTGAAGAATTAAACCTAAATCAGATAATGTCAGAACGCAAAAATTAAGTAAAATCATTCATATAAATCTTTTATAACAGAGAAGTAACTTAGTAGTCTTCTTGGTGGAAGACAGCTTGGGCTGAATCCTGGTTGATTCCGCAGATTCCTTTACCTCCTCTCCTCTTGATGTGGACGTAACCTTCATTTCCCCATGATCCTCCCCATGAGTTTTTAACAATCCAGTAGTCACCATCCGCTTCATATCCGACAAGGGTTACTCCGTGGTCAATTTCAGTTCCGCAGTCATCTTCTTCATCAAGAATTCCGCTCTGGTAATGTCTGAACTTATCGTTCTCAGCTCTGATGGAGACAGACACGACATTATGGGTCAAGGCCTCGTAGAGGGAATCTTCATCATCTTCAACTCTGAAAGCATAAGGAAGAGATTCGTAATTTGATTCTAATTCAGCTTCTCTGCAAGTTCCTAATGGAAGAGAATAAGAATATTCCTCATCGGTGATTGGTCCTCTTTGGGTGAAGAACAACAATCCGTTGATCATCCATCCTCCCATACATCCACCTGAGAACTTGTCACATTCAGCGAGGTGTGCTTCAGAGAAGCTTTTAAGTTCTCCATGTTCCTTAGCGTAAGCACCTTCAATAGATGCAACAGTTGAGAAAGCCCAGCATGATCCGCAAGCTCCTTGGTTCTTTACATCGGTTACAAGTCCTTCATTTCTATGGTCAATAGAAACAAGTTCTGGTTCACCTTTAGCCTTGATAGTCTTCAAAGTCTGAGAGCTTCTGAGTGGTTGTCTTCTAAGTCCGAGCATTGATTTGTACTCTTCATCAGTCCAGTCAGTGAACTCATTAACTCCCAATTTGGAGGAGAGTCCTTTAGCATTGTGAGCGTTGATGATCTCCAAGTTTTTATTGAAGATTTCTCTTCTGAAGTTATACTCATTTTCAGTTTCATAGCTTTTATCAAACTGAGTCATATAACTAGTGAACTGGTGTTCAAATTGGTTGGAGGAGTCTGTGAACAGACCCATCAAAGCAAGGGAGGCAAGCCCCAAAGTGACAAGGACAAATCCTGTTTTCATTACAATAAATAGATATAATCCTCCCAATTTCATCTGCTTTTTAAGGGGTTTTGGGGTTTTGGGGTTTTGGGGTTTTGGGG